TTGTAAACGTTTAAGTTGCTAATTTTAAGAAAAGTGAAAAGTTGAATTCTAGAGCTAGAATGTGTATTTTTTTTTCACAAGGCTCATATTCTAACACCATTTGACAAGAATGCTATAGCAGCCTCGTTGCCTCATGTGGCCTTTGGTGTCCATGAGATTGGCACTCTTCAAAATGAGCACTGTGAAAGAAATCCTTTCTGGGAGGAGTTGCGCTTGCAGGAGAGGGATGGTGTGCTGAAGAGCTAATGATGTCTTTCAGAAATTGCTAACCAAATTTTGTGCTTCCAGAACAGTGTGAAAGAAACATTCTTGTTTATAAAGGAAAGCTTGTAAAGTATTGCTCTGTCAGAAACATTTGTTGTTCTAAAGCTTCTACATTATTAATAAAACCAAGTTGCAGTGTGTGACTCAATGCTTATAAAAGTGTCTCCGTGAACAAGTTTAGAGATATTCTTCGTTCTAACTTAAAAGTCATTGTAGAGATTCTTTATTTTGTTTTGTTTTTCCTTCTTATGTTCCTGCCTGCTAATCTTTTGGCTGTTTTTTTGTTCTTCGCCATATGTACGAGAGGGTGGTCAGGGAGAATCCAGAGGGTAAAACACAAAGCAATTAATTTAGTTTTTCTGCTAAAACAGTTTCAATGGCGTTTACTGCTGAAATTGACAACAGTGAGAGCTCTCAATTGCTTTCTTATTTCACTTATCTGTATGGCAGTACTTACTTAATTATATGTCTCTTTAATTTCATGGATTTATTAAAAAACCACTTGTAATCAGCGCACAATGGATTATGTGGCTCTATATTGTATAATTCCTGTCTAACATGGTATCTTCATCACAGTGGATACTTAGTTATATATTCTGGATAAGATTTTTAAAATCACCAGCAGCTTTTGTTAAAATGTTTCACAATTTCCAAAGGAGAAGCAACATATGAAATGTTTTTTTTCTTCACAGCTTTACTGAGATATAATTGACTTATAACATCATGTAAATTTAAGGCCTACAACATGTTAATTTGATACACTTATATATTGCAATATGATCTCCAACATAGTGTTAGCGACACTTCCATCATATAATTACCATTTCTTTTTTTGTGGTGAGAACAATTAAGATCTACTCCTTAGCAAGTCTCAAATATAAACTACAGTGTTATTAGTTATAATCACCTATGGTGTATATTAGATCCCCTGAACTTACTGGTCTGAAAAGTTCTAGCTTGACCAACATGTCTCTGTTTCCCTTACTCCACAGCCTCTGTTTTCTATGCATTTGGTTTTTTAAAATTTATATATTTTTGACAGAGGGTGAGGGGGAGAGAGACAGAAAGGGAGAGATTGTGAGCATGAGCAGAGGAGGGGCAGAGAGGAAGAGAGAATCTCATGCAGGCTCTATGCTTACAGTGTGGACATGAGCCTCAGACTCAGAACCATGAGATCATGACTTGAGCGGAAATCAAGAGTCGGACACTTAACTAATTGAGCTATGCAGATGCCCCCACATTTGGATTTTTTAGATTCCACATACAATTGGTATCAGTATCAGCCTCTCTTCTGACCTTTGCACTTAGTATAATGCCCTCATAATCCACCCATGTTGTCACAAATGGCAGAATTTCCTTCTTTTTTATTATCTATCTATCTATCTATCCATCTATCTATCATCTGTCTTCTGTCTGTCTATCTATCTATCTATCTATCTATCTATCTATCTATCTATCTATCTATGTCTTCTCTATCTATTCATCCATTGAGAGACACTAAGATTGCCTCCATATCTTGACTATGGTGAGTAATGGTGCAGTGAACATGAAGAGTGCAAATACCTCTTTGAGATCCTGTTTTCATTTCCCTTGGATATATACCTGGAAGTTGGATTGCTGGATGTTTCACCAGTAGTGCAGAAGGGTTCAATGTTTCCTTGTTGATTTTTTGTCTGGATGATCTGTCCATTGCTGAAGCGGGGTCTTGAAGTCCCCTACTATTATCATAGTGTTGTCGATTTCTCTTTTCAGATCTGATACCATTTACTTAATATATTTAGGTGGTTTGATGTTGGGTGCAGAGGTGTTTGTGATTGTCAGATCTAGATGAATTGACTACTTTATGATTGTATAATGACCTTCTTTGTCTCTTGTTGCCATTTTTGGCTTAAAGTCTACTTTGTTGTAAATATAGCTAGCCCTACTTTATTTTGGGTTCTGCTTGCATGGAGTATTTTTTTCCATGCCTTCACTATGAATTCATGTGGATCCTTGAAACTGATAAGAATCCCTATAGGCAGCAGAGAGTTCGTTTGGCAACTGTGAACCTTTTGACTGGAGAATTCAGTCCATTTACATTTAGAGTAACTATTGCTATGTGAGCACTTACTAATGCCATCTTATTGTTTTCTGGCTATTGCATAATTCCCTTATTCTTTTCCTTTTCTCTTGTTGCTTCTTTTGTGAATTAATGATTTTATATTATGGTTTTCTTTGATTCTCTTCTCTTTATCATTTTTGAAAGTACTGTAGATTTTTATTTTCTGGTTACCATGAGGAGTACATGAAATATTTTATAGTTATAATAGTATATTTTGTGCTGCTAACTTTAATTGCATAAAAGAACTCTACTCCCTTTTATGTTTTTGATGTCACAATTCAGCTATTTTTATATTGCATCCATTAATAAATTATCATAGCTATAGTTATTTTTAATGTTCTTGTCCTTTAAACTTTATAAAAGTTTAAGTAGAATTCAGTGGTTAACATCCAACCATATTACAGTATTAGAGTATTCTGAATTTGACTCCACACTTACCCTTATTAGTGTGTTGTATATTGTCCTATGTTTTCATGTTACTAATTAGCATCCTTTCATTTCAGCTTGAAAAACACCTTTCAGCATTTATTTTAAGGCTGGTCTTGTGGAAAACTCCTCAGCTTTTATTTCTCTGGGAACCTGGTTGGCCAAATTTCAACCAACTTTCTTCATTCCTTGTTGGCAGTCCCCCCTCCGCTTTAGCACTTTGACTATATTATCCCACTCTCTCCTGGCCTGTAAGGTTTCTGCTGAGAAATTGCTGATAGTCTTATGAGGATTTTCTGTAAGTTACAAACATTTTTTTCTCAGGGTGACTTTAGGGCTCTCCCTTTGTCTGATTTTTGACAGTTTTACTGTAATATGCTTTGGAGAGGATCTCAAATTAATTTTCCTTGGCGACCTATGAACATTATGAACTGGAATATACATTTCTCCCTAGATTTGGGAAGTTCATAGCCATTATTTCTTTAAATCACCCCCTGCCCTTTTTCTTTCTCTTCTCTTTTCGGGATTCAGATAATTCAGAGTGTCTCTTTTGGTTGTGTAGCATAGATCATGTAGATTTCCTTCAACTCTTTTCACTACTTCTCCATATTTCTCCTCTGACTGGATAATTTCAAAGTCCCTGTCGTCAGTCTCACAGATTCTTTCTTTTGCTGAATTAAGTCTGCTGTTAAAACTATTACAGGGGCACCTGGGTGATTCACTTGGTTGTTGAGTATCTGACATTGGCTCAGGTCATGATCTCATGGTTTCCGTTGGTTTGGACCCACATTGGGCTGCTTGGGATTCTCTTTTCTCTCTCTCTGACTCTTCCCCACATGTGCTTTCTCTCTCAAAATAAATTAATAAAATGTAAAAAACCCTCTTTATTACAATTTTCATTTCATTCATTTTATTCTTCAGCTCCAGAATTTCTGTTCGGTTATTTTTTTGTGTGTGTTTTCTGTCTCTTTGTTAAACTTCTCATTTTGTTTGTGTTTTTTTTTTTTTTCTGATTTTTCTTATTTCATTGAATGGTCTCTTTATGTTTTCTTCTAGCTCATTAAGTTTCCTTTAAAAAGCTATTTTGAGGGGCGCCTGGGTGGCTTAATTGGTCAAGCATCCGAGTTTCACTTAGGTCATGATCTTGCGGTTCATGGGTTCAAGCCCCGCGTCGGGCTCTGTGCTGACTGCCAGCTCAGAGCCTGGAGCCTATTTCAGAGCCTGTGTCTCCCTCTATCTCTGACCCTCCCCTGCTCACGCTGTCTCTCTCTCTGTCTCCTAGAAATAAATAAAACATTAAAAAAAAAAAAAGCTATTTTGAATTCTTTTTTGGGTAAATTATAAATCTCCATGTTTTTGGGTTCAGTTACTAGGAGATTATTTCTATACTTTTGTGAGATTGTGCTTTCATTTTTCCTTGATTTTTCATGTTCCCTGAAGTTTTGCTTTACACTCTTTGCATTTGAAGTACCCGCCACCTCCTGCAGAGTCTTTCCTGGTTCAGAAGAGAGGTACCTCTGTAGGCCCTGCTGGGGATTCTGAGGCTGTGGATACACCTGCTCTGTCTTCTTGCTCCTTCTTGGGGCAGAATTCTTAATATGTATGTCTTCCCCAGATCTTGCAACATGCCAGGCTAAGCGCTCACAGTCCCTCTCTGTTTTCCCAAAGGAGGCACTAATCTCAAGTTCATGGTCTCTCCCTGACCTACAGATTTGGATGTGCTTTCTGCACTTGCTTACCAGTCCTCTGCCAAAGCCTGTGCAGGCGAGGCATGTGGCATTGGAGGTGCTCTGGTGATGGTTGGAGCTAGTCACAAGTGATACATTTGCAGTGGCTCATGGGTAGGCTTCGTGATGGAAAATGTGAGGCAGATAATAGGATCTGTCCTTTTAATGTCCTCTGAGAGTGAGTCTATCTGCTGTTCTTTCTGTTTCTTCCCAACTCCTCACGATTCAATTCTTTTGATGCTGTGAGAGAGAAACGAGAGTCTTCGGCAGGATCTCACACAGCTGGGGAAGCGGCTGCTCACTCACAGCCTCTCCTTTTCCCACAGGAGAAATCACACACGGAGAAACATTGCTCTTGCCCCTGATCTCTGCAGACATCAGGGATGGGTGACATGGTGAAAGTCAAACTGGTCAGACTGTTCCTCTTTCCCACCTCATCGTGTCCATACTGCTCCTTTTTTTTTTTTTTTTTTTTTTTTTAGATCCAGTGGGGTGCTGGAGCTTGTCTTCTAGAAACCTGGACCTTACCCCTGGGTGAGTCTGAATCAGTATTCTCAAGGGGCTCCTGGACCATGACTAAGAGGGCCTGGAGACAGTTAATGGGCCACTGCAGGGTCCACAGCCAGGCTGCGGTCTGTCTGCCTGTTTCCAGGCACATGGGTGGGTGAGATTCCTCCTGGGTCCCTATGTGTATGGTATTGGATTCCACAAATCCCTCAAATGCACCTTCTGACCAAGGATGGATGCCGAAATTTTGTTTTTTGGTGGGGACATGAAACAAGGGACATCTGCTGCTGCCAGGATGCTGACATGACTCTCTGAGATGTTAGTGACATGTAAACACCCTTCCAGCAAACTTATCTACAGTGTAGCAAAGAGAATTTAAGGATATTAATTTCAAAGATATAGGCGTAGGAATTACAGTTTCAAGACTTTTCAGAAAAGATAATTTGATAAAAAATCTGAAAATTCAGAAGTGTGAATTGTTCTTTAGAAAGTAGTGACTGCTTGACAAATGTAGATTTTTATTATTACTGATGTTTTGAGAAAACATCGGCACTGAAGAGCCTGACGTGAGAAATGTCATAAGCTTTTCACATGCCCAGTTCTTTTGTCACAAAGTATTATCAGATTTTCTGCTTAGAAAATGTTTTTTGGCTGAAATAGACTAAAATCTGTCTTGGATGTAGGCACTTTGGAAAAGTGACAGGGAGTTTTCAAACCTCTCTTTGAAAATATGTATTTACACTGAGATACAATAATACACTAATTGTGGTGACACAGGAAACACAAGTAGTTTAATTAGTTTTAACTTCTCAAAAATGTTTTGGTCATTTTGTTGGTATAGCTTTTTATCTGAAAAATAACGGATGCTCATATGAAGACAAAAATAATGGAATGCAATTGAGAGATAGATACCTTTTCTCTTCAATACAATATTTTAGTGATGAACTAGGAAATGCTAGTAAGAAGAGTCACTCTGTAAGAGTAATGTCCAGTAGCTCTTCTGTCAGACTTGAGGTGAAATATCTCAGCCGATGATAACTGACTGAATCCCCAATTTCACATGCCTCTCAAATCTTAATATTTTAAACTATACCTCTAGGAAGTTAATATATCCCAGTAAAAGTCTTTTGCTTTTATTTAAAAATTTTATTAGCTTTTGTCATGGTGACATATACATAACACGAAACATACAGTTTTAACCATTCTTTAGTATATAGTTCAGTTGAATGAAGGATATTCACATTGTTGTACAACCTTCAACTCTGTCTGTTTCTGGAACGTCTTTATCTTACCAAACTGACTTTGTTCCAGCTAAGCAATTACTGTCCATTCACCTGTCCATGGACACTTGACTGTTTCCACCTTTTGGCTATTATAAATATGCTGCTACAAACATGGGTGTGCAAATGTCTGGGTGAGTCTCTGCTTTCAATTATTTTGGGTATATATCCGGAAATGAGATTGCTAAATCATATGGTAATTCTCTGTTTAATTTTTTGAGGGAACTCCATATTCTTTTCCACATGCGCCATTTTACATTCCCATCAGTAATGTACAGGGTTCTAATTTCTCCACATCCTTGCCAACACTTGTGCTTTTTAAAAAAATTTTTTTAAATTTTATTATTTTTAAATAGTAGTCATTCTAACAGGTGTGAGGTAATATTGTAGTTTTGGTTTGCATTTCTCTTATGATTAGTGATGTTGAACATCTTATGTATGTTTATTGGCTATGCCTATGTCTTCTTTAGAGAAATGTCTGTTCAAGTCCTTTGCCCACTTTTTAATCAAGGTGTTTGTTTTCTGTTGTTTGGTTATAGGAGTTCTTTACATATTCTGGATATTAATCTGTTTTCAGATTATAATTTGCAAATATTTTCTCCTGTTCCTTGGGTTGCCTTTTCACTGTGTTGATAGTGTGCTTTGATATGCCAACATTTAAATTTTGATGAAATCTAACTTATCTATTTTTTCATTTGTTTTCTTTGGTTTTGGTGTCAGAGCCAAGAAATCATTGCCAAATCCAGTGTTATGAAGCTTTTCCCGTATGTTTTCTTTCTTTCTTTTTTTTTTTTTTTAACATTCATAAGCTTAATCCATGCCAATAATAAAATCGCATTACATTTCTCAGAAAATAAATGTTCCCGTTTATATCCAGAAGACAGACTGTGTGGGCCTAACCTGGGCCCAGGAGGGGTCATACACAGACAGGTAGTGGAGGAAGGGCTGTCCCTCCCATCAAGGACAGAGGACAGTGGCAGGGGAGCGGCCTGCTGGCCAGGTGGGTGGGCAGACCAGCAGATAGTCACATGGACAGACTGGACTAGAGGCCAGGCACTGGGCACTACTGGCCCTGCGATTTCAAAGGTGCCCTTGAGCTGCCCCTGCTCATAGTCCATCTGATGTGAGATCATGTCCTTTAGGAAGAAATTGTTTCCCTGTGTTTTCTTCTAACAGTTTTATGGTTAGGTTTTGTCTTTAGCTCTTTGATCCATTTGAGTTAAGTTTTGTGTAGGGTGTGTGATCAGGGTTCATTATTCTGCACGTGGTTACTTAGGTTTCCCATCACAGTTGAAGACTGTCCTCTCCCCATTGAATGGTTTGGGTGCCCTTGACTAAAATCATTTGTCTATATACATGAGGGATTATTTTTCTGTATTATTCCAGCAGACTTTAGGTCTTTCTTTACGACACTATTACACTGTTTGATTACAGGATCTTTGCAGTAAGTTTTGAATCAGCAAGCATGAGACGCTCCCCTCTCCCCACCGCCAGCATTTTTTTTTTAATTAATTTTTGAGAGAGAGTAACACACACACACACACACACACACTCACACAACATAAGTGGGAAGAGGCAGAGAGAGAACCCCAAGCAGGTGCTGCACTGTCAGTGCAGAGCTTGACATGGGGCTCAAACTCACCATCCATGAGATCATGACTTGAGCCAAAATCGAGGGTTGGTCACATAACCAACTGAGCCACCCAGACACTCTTGTTCTTTTTCAAGATTGCTTTGGTTACTGAGGGTCCCTTGAGATTCTATATAAATTTTAGGATTGATTTTTCTGTTTTTGAAAAAATGTCATTGAGATTTTAACATTTATTTATTTTTGAGAGACAGAAAGAGAGCGCAAGCAGATGAGGGACTGAAACAGGCTCCAGGCTCTGAGCTAGCTGTCAGCACAGAGCCTGACATGGGGCTCGAACCCACAATCCGTGAGATCATGACCTGAGCCGAAGTTGAACACTTAACCTACTGAGCCACCCAGGCATCCCAAGGATTTTGAGTAAACATTTTAAAAGTGATTATTTACATAAGGTATGATCTAGTGAAAAAAATTAAGCATTTTGACTTTATTTTCTTCGGTAATAGATCAAGAGACTCTTCCTATATGAGAAGAAAATGTTAATATTTACAGTTCTTCCCATCCAGTATCTGAAATAACAGATTCTATTTGTGCCTTTTGACTCCAACTGTGCATCTAAAATACTTCTGCTCTGGGTCCTAGGGGACAGAATAGTGAGTGGGCAGAGCACTTAGAAGTCTTCAGACTGGTCTTGGCTTTGCTGTTTTTCCACAGATGCCCAAGGTCTGGCCGACTGACTGCTAGGAATAAATGAATGTGTGAATAGCTAGTAGCCACACAGTACTGGCCAATACAGAGCTCAGCTTGAGAGATACCAAGTTTAGTTAAAATCTTTTCTAATATCGTTACAGTGCATTTTCTTTAGCAGTAGAGGTAAAAATAGCCTTTATTTCAGTGAATTTGTAGGAAATCAAGCTACAGAGACTCCAAAAATTTTTCTTGAACATCCATTGCAAAGTAGTGGAGAGATTGGCAGAATCGAGAATCAGAGTCATTGGAGCCTAACAGCTGACTGCTAGTACCGGGTTTCTCTTGACATTTCCCTGTTTTTCTCTTAGCAAATATTTAATTTTGAATTTGTTTTGGATAATCTTCCAGAATAACAGACTATTAGAACTCTAAGTCACCTAAGTAAGTGTTTAGTCTAACTACCTTATTTATTTAAAATATAAATCAGGTCTCTTTCCCCCACTATTATTTCCTCTTCTCTAAGAGGAGAGAACGTCTCAGTCCCTCGTTATTTTGAATCAGATTTACCGTGTACATTTTGCACTAGCTCATGTATTTGCTATTTTTTGTGTGTGCCACCCTGCCTTTGTAAATAAGATGGAGGTCCTGAGGATGTGAGTTACAGCCCGGAGGACTCCGCATTCCTGCTGCACTTGCTTCATGCTCCCTACATGTTACTGTTCCACTAGTTCCTAGAATAATGAAATTTAATTAATGGAAGATGGAAAAATACCCTCCACATTATGGCTTTTACATGGTTTTGACCTTGGAGAAAGGACACACCAGAGGCCACGTGTCTTCTCAGCTATTCTAATCCCAGTTATTTACACCCAGTAGATTTGAGAACACACTGGAAAATTCCACTGTATTCTGAGTTTCTGCACTATAACTGTGGGCTGTGTGGGATCATCTCTTTATAGAAATGCTTTATTATTGAGCAACCCAACTGAAACAATTAAAACAGTTCACCCCAAGTTTTATCATTCCCAGGAAGCAGTTACATCCCAAAGGTAAACTTCTAGAGATGAATCTAAGTCCTGTAGCAGAGTGAGCAAGATGATATTCGCTCATCCCTACCACACAGCATGTAAATGCTAAGTAATATATGTAAATAAATAATTAAAAAATAAATAGAACTGGTTAAAAACTAAATAACCATGTTAAAAAAACAATACCTACTCCCCCCATCCCCGAAAATCAGAACCTGAATTTCATAAAGAGCTGCTTAGAAATGGGCAACAGCTTACACTTCATTAACAAAAGAGAAAAATCAGAAGATTTTTCAACAAATTTGTAAGAAGCATTTGACAAAAACCAAACATGTTTTCATAATGAAAACAATCATCAAACTGGGACTAAAATGGAATTTCTCCAATCGGATAAAGGGCAGCTATAAAAATGACAGTGAACATCATAATTAATGTTGAAATGCTGA